AACTACCGTTGTTGGTCGTTAAGTTATACATGAGATTGTGGGTGATGATATTGCGCTTGGTGTACCTGGGAATGAATAAATCGTTGACCATTTAAATTGCAGGTAAGGGAAATCGACACCATTCGTTTTTTAATTACCGTTGTTGGTAAGTTACACGAGATATAACATTTACTCATAATGTTATTTATGAGATAAATGTAAACCATCAAATTACTTTTTATTAACTAAATAATAACTTTTTGTTAAATTATGTTAAGCATGAGGGTTCATCAGTCCTCTCATTTATTTGGAATTTCCCTCCTTTTTTTTTTTTTTTTTTTTTTTTTAAAATTATGTTAAGCATGAGGGTTCATAAGTCCTCTCATTTATTTGGAATTTCACTCCTCTTTTTTTTTTTTTTTTTGGAAAAGGGATGACATAGATTTCATTAAAGCCAAGAACAGACTAGTTTGTACAGTGTGAAGTAACATCCTTCACAAGCACATCACTAATTACAGTAGGAGGTTCATTACACCGAAGTACCATCATCTCCACAATGGAGGGCAAATCGAGCTAGATGGGCCACCGAGTTAGCTTGGCGAATGTGGGCAACAACTTCAGCGATTAGAGTCAACAAGAATTCCGCATCCACAATGATAGGCCCATAGGAGGCAAATTCGTCGAAAATTTGTGCATTGCTGAGACGATCAAAAGCGATCATGTTCAACGTTAATCATATTAGGCAACGCAGCCCAATCTGACTCCAACCAAGAGTTAAAAAACACAAAACTGATGATAAAGAATTAGACGATTATTAAAATAAACCGTGTTTTACTCCTATTCACAAAATTTAAAAAATGCTAAGAACCTTTTCTTCAATATTATCAATATTTTCGTGAAAAAAAAATCCAAAATTGAGAGAACTCTTAAATTTTAACTAAAATCCACAGATTTGTCGTTATTTCCGACATATCGGTTATACATTGAAGAAAAATTCTTATGTTTCGTCTAAACCAGTGTTTTGACATTCCAAGCTTCATTTTAAATTTTCATATATTTTTATCGATACTGATATTTTAAACACTTAATAGAACGCATAAAAAACAAAAAAAATATATATAATCAAATCAATAGTTTCAATAAGACAACATATCTCGATCCGTAGTTTCTAACCCACAGACAAATTTTATATTTTAACAACGACAATAACAAAACTTTTTTTCACCAAGTTAGGGTTTTATTTGACAGAAAGAAAAATCTGCCCCTATATCCGCTAGTTATATACAAAATATTTTCTGATAATAAAAATTATACAAAATATTTATACTCCCTAAAGGAATAGGATTCCGAGGATTACATTGGGCCTCTGTTGTTCTCGTTTTGTTTTTGTGATTTTGGCCCATCTGCTTTAAATAGTCCGTCCGTGTAATGACATGTATATTTTGAGGAATGAGAATCTTCTTCAGATCCTCTTTGTGAGCTTTCTGGGAATTCTTTTTATAAGGATCCTGAAGATTCTCAAATTATATCCGTTCATCCTCAAATTACCTCCTCAGTCTTCTGTTCTCCATCTCTATTAATCTATTTCTCTCTACAAAATTCGTGATCCATGATTTTTATTTTTTTATTTTTTGAAGATTCTAAAGCTCCAAAATTGAGGACTTAGAGAATCCGAATGGAACGGATCAAGAAAGGATCCTATTCCAATATGAAAAAGGTGATCTAAAAAATAAATTTAATAAAGTTACGAAGTCATTTAGTCGTAGGAAACTTAAATTCAAGTTTCGTCAACTAATAAAAAAGCTCCAGAATTTTTTCTTAATATTCAAGCTTCCGAGTTTAACGCTTTTAAGCTGGTGGTGTTTCTTCTTCTGCACATTCAAATTTTGTAAGCAAAAGCACAAATTCTTTACATCTTTGGAGCGTCAACAAAACCACTTCGGACTTAAATTAAAGTGCTTTTCTTGCTTAAAAAAAAAAAAAAACATTCCAAACAAATACTCAACCAAATGACAGCAAATACATCCAAGACAACCAAGAGAAACAAAAAGCTACTGTTTTACAAGTTATAAGTTTGTACACTCCATATCGGAGGTACAACGGTCTCCCTCATTAGAGTCGCAGCATCTCCGTGGAAAGGATTTTCCGAAAGCCTCGTTTCTTCGACGTTGTAAACACCACAATCATAAGCTCCGGGCAGTTTAAGGCCTCTTTCATCGCGAACATCGTCGTTAAAGAAGTATACGCAATTTGCTCGATATCCCGACTTTGAAGCACAAACAGATATTGAAGAGCTATAACACACAAACAAAGCAACACAAACAAAGCAACGTCACATAAAGTGTTCTTCTCCGTCCACTCACCCTTGATGATATCTAGTTCAAATACTCTGAATTTTAGTTTCCGATGGCCGTCAAAACCATCCCTGCACATTTGAACCATCAGTATTGTTTTCTCATTGCAAACCACAAGATACATCTTGACATGATAGCCATCCTGCTGCTTTCCACATTCGCGTAAAACCACTTTCATATTTGAGTTGGACTGATCAGTAGTAATAACATCAAAGCAATAGGGTTTACCATAATCATCAACAGCATAGAATCTGTCTTCAAATTGAACAACATCTTGAAGCAACCACCACCATTTTATGTCAACGTACCGTTTCATGGGCATAACTCCACTTACTGTCTTTGTTCAGTCGAAGAAAAGCACTGCACATCTCACACATGACCATAATAATGCAGTTGTCGGCATCCGATATGGGATCCGCTGAAATTGTAGCCTGGTAGACATAATAAATTTCATGTTGAAACTGACCCAACTTTGGAGGGTTCAATGGAGGAAGGCGAACTATTGACTTTTCAGTGGTAAGGAAAGGATTTATTAGTGATACAGTTCGATGTCCGTTGACAGCGATTAACCATCCTTTTGAAGAACCACAAATTCGTTCATGTCTTCCCAAATTGATATCGGTTTTAAGAACCTTGTCATCCAAGGGATTGTATAAATGCCACGTATCTTTGTCTGTATGAGAGAAATCAAGATCATTGGGGTTGTCGTGACGGCACAAAGGGTCTGTATATCCTTTGCAGCCGAACGCCATGACTTGCAAACCAAGCTAAATTCTTTTGGCGTCTCCAGTCTCTCTACAACTAAATTTAAAAGCTCTCTAGACAACGCAGCCCAATCTGATTGAACCAAAAGATAAAAAAAACACTAGTCAGCTGAGATGATGATGAAGAATTAGACCAACGTTCCTATATTCTTTGCTCGTGAAACTAAATTGAGTGGTCGAATTCTGCAATTCTAAGTTGGAAAGCTTTCTGCACAAAGAATCTCCAAATTTTATTTAACTGATATCTAGCTTCTGTCAGGCAAGCAAAGGTTCACACATGCACACAAACACAAGCATAAATAGACAAGTACAAAACCTTCTTCTCCTTTTCGATCTCTGATGCAGCTCCAGCTACTCCAACCAAAGACTTCGCACTCTGTCGGATGGACACTTAAAACACTGGAAAGAAAAGCACCGTCTTAGATGCATGATCCAATTAAGCTTTTAAGTTTTAACGTTCTAAGCTGGTGGTGCTTCTTCTGCATGCACATTCAAAAATTTTAAGCAAAGCACACAAATTTTACATCTGTGGAGCATCAACAAAATCACTTCAGATTCAAAAGTGCTTTTTATTGCTTCAAAAATCAAATATTCCAAACAAATACACAATCAAATGACAACCCAAATACCCAAGTATCAAAAAGGAACAAAATTCAAGATAAAATCAAGGTTCACACATACATCTCAGGGTCCGAATAACCCGGCAGCCGGCTCCAATGTCTGCAATGGAGCTCCGTATCCATAACAGCAAATGAAATTTTACCATATAAAAGAACTGTTCTTGACACTCCAAAATCTTTATTTTGCACTCAGTATTTTTTTCGTTTTAATTATAGAAAGTATGAATTTCAAAATGAGAATTTTAGAGTGCCAATAACAATTCCCTAAATAAATAATAACTACCATTGTTGGTCGTTAAGTTATACATGAGATTGTGGGTGATGATATTGCGCTTGGTGTAGGTGGGAATGAATAGATCGTGAACCATTTAGATTGCGGGTGAGAGAAATTGACACCATTCATTTTCAAATTACCGTTGTTGGTAAGTTACACGTGATGTAACATCTACTCCTATGTTATTTATGAGATCAATGTAAACCATCAAATTATATTAAATAAATAATAAATTTTCGTTTAGATTATGTTAAGCATGAAGGTTGATCAGTCTTATTTTTTATTTGGAATTTCCCTCCTCCATTTTTTATTTGAAAAGGGACGACACAGATTTCATTAAAGCCGAGAACAGGCTAATTTGTACAGGGTGAAGCAATATCCTCCACAAGCAAATCACTAATTATAGTAGGAGTTTCATTGCACCATGTACCATCATCTCCACAAAGGAGGGAAAATCGAGCTAGTCTATGGGCCACCGAGTTAGCTTGGCGGCGGATGTGGGCTACAACAATTTTAGCGATCAAAGTTCGTAAGAATTCCGCATCCTCAATGATAGGCCCCATAGAAGACAATTTCGTCTAAAATTCATGCATTGCTAAGACAATTAGAAGCGAATCACTTTCAACATTAATCATATTCAAATCCCAACCTACCACCTGCTCAAGACCAGCTCTCATGGCCAGTGCCTCTTATCTGGATAGGAGAGAACACGTCCATGAATCTTCACCAACAAAACTTCCTTCAGAGTTCCTCACTGCAATGCCAACTCCACCAACACTGTTTGTTTGATCCCAAGCTCCGTCCACATTAAGCTTGAATCTGCCAGACGGAGGACACACCCATCGATGAATGGCATTCTGTTCCCTCCTTAATTTTACGACATTGGTGGTGGTTCATATCTAAATAATAGTACTATTCATAGGCTTGCAGGACCATGCAAAAGAACCCATCAACAGAGTTGCAAAACACAAAAACAGCAATTCAATAGTGCAGTTACAAGTTAAAACCATAATGTTCCAAATCCGTACATCAAATATATCCAAGAAAACCAAGAAGAACAAAAAATATTGTTCTACAAATTATAAGTTGGTGCAATCCATATCGGAGATACAACGGTCTTGCTCATCAGAATCCCAGCATCTCTATGGAAAGGATTTTCTAAAAACCTCTTTTCCTCGACGTTGTAGACACCATAATCATAAGCTCCGCGCGGTCCAAACCCTTCTTCAACGCCAACATTATCATGAATGAAGTATATGCAATTTGCTCGACATCCCGACTTTGAAGCACAAACAGATATTGAAGAATTATCACCCACAAACAAAGCAACGTCACCTAAAGTGTTCTTCTCCGTCCACTCACCCTTGCTGATATTTAGTTCAAAGACTGTGATTCTTTTTGTCTCGTGACCGTCAAGACCAACCATGCACCTTTGAACCATCAGTACTGTTTTCTCATTACAAACCACAAAATATCTCGTGACATAACAGTTCTCCCCGTCACATTCACGTCCGACCACTTTCACCGGTGCGACAGACGGAGTAGTAACGTCAAAAGAAAAGACTTTACCATACAAATCCACAGCATAGAATCTTTCTTCAAATTGAACAACTTCTTCAACCGTGCGCCACCATCCTCTGTCAACCTTTTCAAGGATATAAGTCCACTGACTATCTTTGTTGAGTCGAAGAAAAGCCAAGTGGCAGATGCCCTCATATACCACCGTAACAATGCAGTTATCGGCATTTAGTATTGGATCTGCTGAAATCGTAGCCTTGTAGACAAAATAGTTTTCACGTCGAAGCCGAATCAAACTTGGCGGGCTCAGTGGAGGAAGGTGAATTATTTTCTTTTCATCGTTACTAAAGAACGGATTTATTAGCGATACAAGACGATTCTTATCCACAACGATTAACCATCCTTTTGAAGACCCGCAAAATCGCTGTCTTGCCAAATTTAATTGGGTTTTAAGAACCTTGTCATCCACCGGATTGTATAAACTCCACTTGTAATATGATTGAGAAGATATCATGAGCAAAGGGTTTGTCGTCATGGCGCAATAGCTCTGTGTATCCTTCGCAGCCGAACGCCAGGACTTGCAAACAAAGCTAAATTCTTTTGGCGACTCCGTTCTCTCTACAACTAAATTTAAAAGCTCTCTAGGCAACGCAGCCCAATCTGACTCGAACCAAAAGATAAAAAACACAAGTCAGCTGATGATGAAGAATTTGACCAATACAAAAAAGAAAAATTGAAAAACCCTAATGAAACCAGTGTTTGAAATTTCGGACATCTCGGCTAACAATGGAAGAAAAACCTTTATGTTTCGTCTAAATCAGTGTTTGACATTCTAAAGTTTCATTTTAAATTTTCATAATTTTCATCTAAGGCAATCGATATCGATATATCTATCAATATTTTCACAAATTTTTATATCGATATTTTCATTGATACCAATATTTTAAACACTTAACGAAACACATTAAAAAAAAAAAATTATGTAATCAAATCAACAGTTTCAATAAGAAAACATACCTCGATCCATAGATTCTAGCCCACAGAATAATTTTATTATTTTAATTTTTAACGACGACAACAACAACAAAATCTTCTCTCACAAAGTCTGGCTCTTATTTGACAGGAAGAAAAATATATCCGCTAGTTATATACAAAATATTTCCTGATAAAAAAATATATACAAAATATTTGTACCCCGCAAAGGAATAGGATTCCGTGGATAACATTGGGCCTCGGTTGTTCTCGTTTTGTTTCTTGTGATTTTGGCCCATCTGCTTTAAATATTCCGTCTGTGTAATGGCATGTATATTTAGAGTGATACTTAGCTCGCTTCACGGGAAAAATTGTTAAAAAATTAAAATTCAATTCTAGCCGCACGATCTTGTATTAACAGCCAGTCTTAATTAATACTGAGAGTCTGCATAGAAAAGATTTGGTGAAAATCTCAGTTATTCGGAAAATATTTAATCTAGGATTCTTTCTGTAACAACCCGTCCCGGAATTTACGTAAGAAAATGAGTATTTTTGTATTTTCACTAAGTTGGGGGATACCTTCCTTTTTAAAATTGTTTTTGAGCCTTAATTGATGAGCCCAAGGGGCCCACCCCCTGTTTTGTTCCCGGTTCCCTATCCCTTTCCCTTTTCCTTTTTTCTGAAAAGTCTCTTCTCTCTTTCTTCCTCCGTGTTCTCTCTTTCCCCCCTCCTCTCGGTGCTCTTTTCTCCGAGCAAAACACACCCACACACACACACACACACACACACCCATGCCCACACCTATAGCTCTTTTCTAACCCGTGGTTGTGTTTTGGACGTCAAACCACGAAGAAACCACATCGGGAGACATTTCTCAGTTTTCCGGCGAGCACCGCCCCTTTCGAGGCGATTTCCGGCCAAACAACGGCGAGTTGGCCGGCGTGCGAGGTATCAATCTCTTCGTCTCGCTGAGTACTACAACTTTCCTTTTTGTTTCACCTAATTTCATTGAGTATTGAAGAAGTTATTCTCATTTGAATCTTACCCAGTTTCCGGCGGACACCCGTGGCTTCCAGGCTGTTTTCCGGCCAACTCCGACCACGATGATGGGAACCAAGGATATATTTCGATTCCTTACCTTCGGGGCTTCAATTTGGTATATTGAATGACATGTTTTGGTTGAGTTTTGAGCTCCAACGGAGCTTGGGAATTCTCCGGCCGAGAACCGGCCTTCTCCTTCCTTGGACTCCGGCGACCACCAAACCCAAAGGCCTTAGGGCCTTGGTTGCAGCCCAAACCCATTTTCTGTTAGCCCAAAACCCAAACCCATTTTCCTTTTTACCCAAACCCAACCCACTTAAAAACCTAACCCAAAACCCTAACCCAAAACCCTAAAACCTAAACCCAATTACCCTAACCCAAACCCTTAGGCCCAAACCCGGATCCATTACCCAAACCCTAAACCGGGGTGACCCGGGTTGACCCTGACCCGGACCTGACCCGTTGACCCTGACCCGTTGACCGTTGACCCGGTCAACGGTCAGCGTTGACTTTGACCGGTCAACGGTCAACGTTGACTTTGACCGGTCAACGGTCAACGTTGACTTTGACCTCGGGTTGACTTTTTCGGTTTCGTGCGGGACCCCTCCTAGGCTAATTTCGACGTCCTGAACCCGTTTCCGATGTCCGTTTTCCCAAATTCAATCGTTTGAGTAGAGTTTGACTAAATGTACCGTTTATGTGTTTAGGGGCGTTTAATTGTGGCGTTTCCATCTTCGCTAGTGACGTGGCTTTTCGACGGCGAAGTACTGTGAGTGGACCCCTTCTAAAAATGCATGTTTTGATAGTAGAAATGCATACATGAAAAGCATGATTTGATGATTATGTTTTATGAACGTTTTACGAGATAATATGCTTACTGAGGCTAATTTGAATTATTACTATTTTTCCTATAACCAATGTTCTTGTAGAATATCTGATGGATGACGATATGATATTTAGAACATGTTTAGAACACCTCTTTATAGTATAGATGATGGATGACTTTATACTATGAAGTTGATTTTCAATATATGTATGTTCACTGGTTTTGTACTTACCTAGTGGTCCTTTCCGCTACGGGACGTAGGGATAGATCCGGTCCGTCCCGGGCGACGGTTTGGTGTTGGCATAGGGCCTGGAGTGTGTTTTCCTCTGACTGTCTGCTCAGAGACGGGGAGCCGGCAAGGGGCCTGAAGTGCATTTTCCTCTGACTGTGTGCTCAGAGACGGGGAGCCGGCATGGGGCCTGGAGAGTTATATCGGACATTCACTAGTGTTTATTATTTATGCGATTTATGATTTGAGACATTGCACGACATGCTAGGTTTCGGAAAACCTATGTTTATCATTATATATAAGTGTTTTCATAAAACCTGGGGGTTAGTATGTTGATAACTATTTTATTATATATATGTATATCAACTTGGTCCACTCATGTTTGTTTTGCGCCCCTTTCAGGACTTAGAATCGAGGCATACAATCCCGACGTCCAGGCACTTCAGCATCGGCATCTTCGAGTCCTCTCGGTGTAGGACCCACTCCTTCGTTTCATTCAATTTTATATTATTTTCTTTTAGTGTTTTAGATTAGAGGTGTGCTCTGAACACGGTCCTTATTTGCATATTCATTATTCTTTTATTTTTATAAACCTTATTTATCCTTTATTTTCAGCATTTGCACTTAATAAATGGCTTTCGTCACCCTCGGGTGTCGGCCAGCACGTGCCTATCCTGGTATTCGGGGAATATCGGGGTCTGGGCGTGTCACTTTCCAAATTCATTCCATCCGAATCCTCATAATCATTCAATCTTGTTTGTTCACATGAAAATCGGCCTAAGATCAATAATAAAAATTTTACCTTCACCTTCTCATGTTCATCTTCTTTCCTCTTCTCTCTCTTTCCTCTCGACCTCCTTAGTCTTTTGTTCTCCATCTCCATCTATCTATTTCTCTCTACAAAATTTGTGATCCAAGAATATTCTAAAGCTCCAGAATTGAGGACTTGGAGAATCCGAATGGAATAGATCAAGAGAGGATCCTATTTCAATATGAAAAAGGTGATCTCAAAAATAAGTTTAATAAAGTTATGAAATCATATAGTCGTAAGAAACTAAATTCGAGTTGGCGGTATTTCTTCTTCTGCACATTCAAATTTTGTAAGGAAAAGCAAAAATTCTTTCATCTATGGAGCGTCAACAAAATCACTTCATCACTTTCGGACTCAAAATTAAGGCGCTTTTCTTGTTTAAAAAATCAAACAACCCGGAGCAGCCGGCTCTGAAGTCTGCAATGGAGCTCCGCATCCATAACAGCAAATGAAATTTTTTATTATATAATTACTGTTGTTGGTCGTTAAGTAACACGTGATGCAACATTTTACCTGATTTTATTTATGAGATGATTGTAATCTGAACCATGAAATGAAAGTTTAGTTGATAAATAATAATTTTTGCAAATGACATTAAAACCATATTGTTCCAAATCCATATATCAAATATATCCAAGAAAACCAAGAGAAACAAAAAGCCACTGTCTTTGTTCAGTCGAATAAAAGCACTGTACATCTCACACCTGACCATAATAATGCAGTTGTCGGCATCTAATATTGGATCCGCTGAAATTCTAGCCTGGTGGACGTAATAAATTTCATGTTGAAACTGACCCAACTTTGGAGGGTTCAATGGAGGAAGGCGAACTATCCACTTTTCAGTGGTAAGGAAAGGATTTATTAGTGCATGATACAGTTCGATGTCCATTGACAGCAAATAACCATCCTTTTGAAGACCCACAAATTCGTTCATGTCTTCCCAAATTGATATCGGTTTTAAGAACCTTGTCATCCAAGGGATTGTATAAATTCCACTTATCTTTGTCTGTAGGAGAAGAAATCAAGATCATTGGGGTTGTTGTGACAGCACAATGGGTCTGTATATCCTTTGCAGCCGAACGCCACGACTTGCAAACCAAGCTAAATTCTTTTGGCGTCTCCAGTCTCTCTACAACTAAATTTAAAAGCTCTCTAGACAACGCAGCCCAATCTGACATGAACCAAAAGATAAAAAACACTAGTCAGCTCAGCTGATGATGAAGAATTAGACCGACGTTCCTATATTCTTTGATCAGCGTATACCACTTCACTAACTAAACAAATATGCAAATACAAAGTATTTTATCTCCTAATCACAGAATATATAGAATTAAAAAACGGTAATTGAACACAAACTAAACAAAAAATTTATGCAATCAAATCAATAGTTTCAATAAGAAAACGGACCTGGATCCATAGATTCCCTTGGCACTTGGGTAGGGCAGGAGTTGCTGTTAGGGTTTTATTTGACAGGAAGAGAGATCTGCCTCCTCCATCCCCTATTCATACACAAAATATTATACTTCCAAAGGGAATAGGATTCCAACTAGAAAATGTGCCCGCGCGTTGCTGCGGGACTTGAATGCATCACCTTGAACTGCATGAATAAGATACATTTTACCTGAATAAATTCAATACAATCATAAATGCAGACAGGGATAGATGAGTGAATGAAGTTGGTAAGATATGCAGCTTCGTTTTTATATGCATTCAACTGAGCTGACATGAAAAGACATTGTACAATGAATGGGACGAAACTGAACATTTTGGTTCCCTAACCTGAAACCCCTTGTCTCAGACACCCAACACCTCTCTCCCTCGAAAGATTGAGACTACTTTTCATATTTTCATTTTAATGTACCAGCAAGGAAAAATTAGCAGTTTACAGATAAATATAAATATTGTTTTCAAGGAATTAATATGATTGCAAATGTAATAGCTCTATACATAGTCAGGTAGGATAAACAATGGAAGACGCACTGAAATTTGAGGTCCATAGGTTGAGAAGAGTTCATAGCATTGATCCATATATGGATAGCTTGCACAGATCTACAATTCAAGCTCCGAACAAAGTATCAATTTATCAGCAATTTTGACATTCATTATTCCTAAAAAAGTTATTGATTCACAAATAAACAAATGAAAGTAATCGGAAAAGAAACGCTTACCACATGCTAGCTGAATCTGAACTCAAAATGACCACGATATTATCCCAGCAATGATCACAAAGAGATTGCTGCCGGGGACTTCTGTCCATCCCCTGAAAACAATGGAATAATATATCCATTAAAAAACGTCACAAAAAGATTTACGGTAACTGCCCAACTATTATAATTATATGGTTCTATTGGCATATTCAGAATTCAAAATAAAATCTGGCAGTTGTTTGCACTTGTAAAAAATTTCTCTTTACAAAACTACATAAATTGTAATGACCCAAGAAATCAAAATTTGATTAGGCATTAGAAACAATGTTACCTTTTGGAGAAAAGGATGCTTAACCAAACGGAAGCCCAAATTTAAAACAGCAACTGAATGAGAATTTGACGTTATAAAATCCGTAAGAAGCGTGTAGTGCATCTAATTTAAAAAGTCTCTCACACATGTAATTGCATGTAGCGCACCAGATTAAAAAAAAAAAAAAAATCCCTTGATACCAAAGGACTGCAAAGGATTGATTTGTCATAGAAAGTAAAAGAATAAATTGAATCAATTGAACATGCTTCTTGCCAACCAACAAAGTAAAACATAGGGCAACAAAATCACAAATCAACATAGGCAATTTAAATAACCAAGATTTCGATGAACTGGTTGTAATCATTTGTGCATAGATGTGTCACTATGTACATAAAACACGTGAAGGACAATCAGTTTAGAGTTTCAAAATATAAAATATTAAAATTTCCATAAAAGATAGGCATTGGGAAACAAAGTTGGCATCTCACCTTCCACAATAGGTCAACAAATCCTTTGATTACGCTTTAGCTTCTTGTTTAACTGAAAACACAAATTCATTGTTCAGAATATCATAATTTCATGGAATGGTTCACCTTTGAATCAAGAACTCCCTTGTTTTATGTATGGTACTGATAATCAACTCATAATATTGGATCTCAATTTATTTCAAACTTTTATGCATTTTTTACTATTCTAGGATCCATTTAGGCAATCTCTTAGACCATTAGTTTGTTCCATTTGACTAAAATTAAAAACAGCACATCCGCTTGCTGCTTAGTGACTTGATAAGCCAGTCACAAAGATAACATGTAGAATGCAAATATGGATCAGGAAAAAACAACAGCTATAGAATTGATTATACAGAAGAAGAATACATACTTATTGTCAGGTTATCCCAGCTATCCACTATGACCCAATATATATAGCAAGTAAAAACTATGGCAGCAAAGATCTCACGTATATAAATCTTACATAAACTTTGTTTTTGTACAGTGTCTTCTCCCTTCAATGACAGTTTGTTTCTTATCCAGAAAAATAAAATGAGCAGGTTAATGATACTCACATGTGCAAAATGCTAATCCTATGGTCTAAAGTTAACTGCGTTTTTTAGTGTAAAATCCCTAATTTCACTACATTTCGATTGATCACAGTTCGTGACTTGTTAAACTTGATATATCCTTTTACACTGCATTTTGATTGATCAGAGTTCGTGACTTGTTAAACTTGATATATCCTTAAGACATTTTGGGAACTTGACAGCTTAAATTTTCTTTAGTCACAGATGTGCTCATAAAAGCAAATTACAACGACCCAATCTAAACTAAAAACTTGGAGAAGGGACTAAATTAGTCAATGAACAGTGCCTCACCTTTCATGTTAAAGACCAAATAGAGAAAACCAAGCTGAACTCTTCAAAATTCGTTGGCACACATACATCATCGGCTCAATTGAATGTATAATGCATACTTAGATACAACCATTCAAACAATTGTTATAGACTGACATAAGCCTCCAAACTTCAAAAAAATTGAAACCTTAAAAAAGCAAAACCATTTTTCCTTCATATTTGAACTGTTTCGATTAGCTTATCTCTCTATCACTTGATTCATTATTTCTAAAGGAAGTTCTAATCACTACCAAAACAGCTTAATAACAGTTGATTATCTCTGAAAAAAAAAAAAAGAGGGAAAATATGAAATACCAACTGTACTCAAAATCCCAAATGCGTAACACATGGTTCTTATCTAAACCCTGATTCTAAAATTTAGAATTCGACACAAAAATGAAAATTGGAATGATTAGCATGGAAATGAGAGAGGGAGAAGGTCTTCCTTACCAACGACGATGAAATCCAACTACCATTTCAAGCTCCCTCAATCACAACCTGTTGGAAAATATCAAGCCCAAACATAAGTTCACTAAAATCCGAATTCAATATAATCAAACACAAACAAAATACCAAAATTATAAATAAATAAAAAACTAAACTAAACTATAAATTAAAACTTTCAACTGAATACCCCAGAATTTAAATTACTTACCAGTAACAGATTTCTCTGAGTAATCAACTTCTCGATTATGGTCATCGAACACAACATTCTCCAAAACTGCCAAACACATGCAACCATATTTGATAAGAAGTTGAAATATCACTCCAATCATGACACAGAACATAAACATTTCGCACTACCTGTCATTTTTAAAGTAGAATGTTCAATTAAATCATGATGTTAAGTACCAGTCCCAAATTGCATTCCAAATATTTGGTTCCCAGTTCTTTGACAAATCAATGCATTTGGCATAGCAACCACCTTCAATGTTTGACACTATTGTTGCTCCAGCAGTGCTCATCAAATCCAATTAGATACCGATTATGATCCGTAGACAGAGTCGTCTTCCCAGTGCCTGCAACAAACATCCCAGGATCAGTTACACAAACACAAAAGAAACTGAAACACAAAAGATTGATATATCATCGCCAATTGATCATTGCACACATAAAATTGTCATGATTCATACCTTTGCGTCGATATGGAATTTTATAAACTGGACAAATGGAACCCGACTTCATTGACTTCACGGTGCAAGTGCTGTAAAAAATAAGCAAACACTGGCAATATGATGAAGCACATTCCAAGTATTAATACATCTAAATAAAACCTAACATTCATATGCGAATAATAATGAAGGTAGAGATTAGTTGCAGAAGAGATGATTGCAATTGAGTGAATCCGCAGAACTCAGTAGACTCAAACTGGAAAACAGATGGGGAAAAATCAAACCCATTAACAGAGTGAAGAGAAATTTTAAATCTTTAAACGAATTCTAGACAAAATCATGTAAAGGGTTTGTTTTGGCTACTGAGAAACTTAGTATACATTTGAATATTATAACATTTTAATACAAAAATTTAGCTTTATTCAGATGGGAGAGATCAAAGGTTGCATCATTTAGCTTCACACATGGCCACAACACAATTTCAAAAACTCTGTCATCTCAAAGTCACATTCTTTATCAAACTCCCACTCCGGAATCGAACAGAGGTTGATAACGGACAAAAAGAAATACAAAGTACGAAATATAATCAATATCATCAGTCAAAACTTGGTGCAAAGGGTGAGGGGTCAACCATCTGACTTTTTTCCCCTTAGCCTCTGCCTGCATGGACAAACAACGGAAGAATTCATACCCAAATAACACAATAACATAAAATGCACAGTTGAAGATTTGATAAGCAATGTACAGTACATAACCAAACCTGATAATATATGCCTTTGACAGATACAAAGACTTTACGCAATTTATGAGTCCAAGATATGTAAGCTTGCCATTCATGACTCAACCTGGTACGAAAGCAACACCAATATTAAGGGAAGATTCCACGAAACGATTAACTCCTAGAAGTAACTAAGCATGATTTCATACTTCAGAACTCCTTTTTTTAGAAAAATTCAAATATACCTTCAACAGTTATGAATGCGTTTGACATCAATTCTGTCCTCAATAGCTGAGGCAGTCGTCTATATCTCTAAGTGCGTCAACGAATTTTGGATATCTGCAGTTCCAAACATACGAAACAACAACTGTCAGAGGCCCTACATACAATAACAGACACACAACTAATTTTTTAACAGTAAGAAAAACCCAACAAACCTCTGCAAAATAATTCTATCTAATTTGTAAGTGGGTCTTCTTTCTGTCAGGAGAGAAGCTCGTTCCTTGTTCTTCTTCGCATCGGCTCTCTTTACTTTTCTTTCGTATGCTCTTATCTCTCTCAACTGCTCAAGTAGTGGTTCATGCTGAATGAAAGAAACATCCTTCAAGTGATAATAGGTATGGTGATTTCTTTCACCTTTTCCTTCAGCTCCCAAGGGAACACGCCCTTTAGAATACACAATTTCCTATAATTTCCAACAGCATGCACATATATTAAGCAATCATGCAATAATTCAACCGATAAATCCGAATAATGCACAAACCCTAAACCCTAGATTAACATAAATTACATAAATCATGTGAAAATACAGAAATTACAACTTGAATACCAGAGACAGACCTGAAGAGGGGAAGACTGACTTGAAGCTGCTTGACAGCTTGTGACCTGGTGACGTACCTCGCGGCATTTCCTTCATTTTTCTTTCCCTGCAAATTCGAGGGACAATCAACTGGAAGTGTGAGAAAATGGTGAAATTAAATATTGGAAATTGTTCTTTTAATACTTATGTATATAAGAGAGCTTATCGGAGACGGAGGAGGTGACCTAGAATTTACTGCAGGCCTGTAACGCTTATGCTTCACCGGGGCCTCGATTTGCAGATAGAGGCTTGGCCCGATTGAAAAGAAGCACAGCCTCTTTCCCCCTTGAAATCTGAAATCCCCACCCAAAAAACCACGCACGGGCCTTCCTGACGTGAACGATGGAGTAAGACAACATAGGCGAGAGAAGAGATCGGCGAGGGATCTGAGGGAAATTACAGAGTGAGAAAATTTTTCTTGGGATTTTTATTGTGTCATTTGAGTAGCTGAAAGAGGACTACAACAGTCAAATATAGTGAAAGAATAATTAAGGGCAAGCTGATTGTATGATTAAAGAAATCTCATACCTTCCATAAAAAAAATCAAAGCGAAAACCAGGAAGAGATTGATACCTTACCGAACGTTGGGGGTAGCCCAAGTTGACCAAAATGGACGAAACCTTGCTCGACCTCTCTCTTTGTCCACATGAGAAAACAACATCACCCAAAAGGTCAGAGATTTCCAAAACCAAAAGGAAATTAAGAGAGAGAAACGGAGGAGAGTGAGAGAGAGAGAGAGAGAGAGATCGGAGTACCGTTAGTTAAATCGTGGACAGCGTCAGTTCTCCGACCACTGTAATCCCTGAAGATCTCTTCGGCCGTTTGCCGACTCGAGCTCATCTCCCTGCTCCTCTCCTTCATCTCACCGAAGTTCTCGAGCTACAGAAATGAAGGCCAGACCCTGCCATTCGTCCCTGAGGCATCCCCTCCTCACCGACTATGTGCGTAACCTGTCAACCCTAAAGAATACACACACTCATGCTTTCCACTCTGTATCTCTCTCCCTGTCCATCTCTCTCTCTAAAATGGGAGAAAATCCCATAGATCCTGGCAGAGGAGCTAGCAAAATCTTTCTCTCACTCAGTCCAAATCAGTAGCTCCCATCCGTCTCCAATCTGTCAGGCCCTGTGTCTCCCTCCTCTGTAGCTGCTCTGTCCCCCTCTCTCTGCTCACCACAACGACACCCAACTGTCTCCGAGTAAAAATGGGAGCCATTGTCTCTCTCAAATTCGTCAACCGTGATGTCCCCTTCCCTTCTCTCTCCCCGAGTCAAAGCTGAAATGCAGGCCCTGTGTCTCCCTGCTCTGTAGTCGCTCTATCCCCCTCTCTCCGCTCGACACAGCGACACCGAGCTGTCTCCGAGTCAAAAATGGGAGTCATCGTCTCTCTCCAATCTGTCAGCCGTGATATCCCCCTCCCCTCTCTCCCCGAGTCAAAAGCTAAAATGCAGCGAATGGTTGAAAATCAATTCTTAAGCCGTAGTGGTAATTGTGTAAATAAAACGAAAGTGTGTTAAAAGCAACCGGGTGGCAATCCGGTAAATAAACTGAAATGTGGTGCAAAACACTGTTCATTTCTACAGTGCAATTTTGCCAGCTTCTTTAGACTAAAGTAATTTCCAAGGCTTAAATTGGACCTCGGTTGTTCTCGTTTTGTTTTTCTGATTTTGGCCCATCTGCTTCATGTAATCCGTCGGTTGCCAGCCGGCCTTTTCGTTGCTTTTTCTGTTTAATTTTAACATTTTAATGTAACCCATGTATATTAGGAGTGATATACATGTCATCGTTCTACAGTTACAATTGCATCCCTAACGTTGGCCAATGTCGAGTTCGGGTCGAGTCATATTACCCGTTTAATTTAACGGATTTGACACATAACGATCCATTAAGATATCGATATATGTCATGAAAACGACACGAATATAACAAAGTTCTCTCCAATTTCCTATTTCCTATTTTTAATGTTATAAATTGTTAAGAATTTCAAACATTTTCTCTTAACTTTAGTGTTGATATACAGGTTGAACCCGGGCACACGGTCCTTGTTCATGCAGCAGCTGCTGGTTTGGGTCATGTGAAAGAAATAACATCCGACCAGAAGCTTGAGGTTGCTTTGGCCTATGATTCTTTTCTCCACCGGCGCCTCATGATTCACTCAAATGCTTTGGCCTATGATTCTTTTCTCCACCGGCGCCTCATGATTCACCTAAATGTTGTACAAGGCAGCAGCTTGATCTTGTTTAGTTTCGGCTACGCGATTATAAGCCAACCCAAATCGTAATTAATTCCTGACCTTAATCTCAAACCATGAGCATTCATCCAATCTCAAACGTCAAAGAAACCAATAAGTACGTGTACGTATTAAAAAAGAGCAAGCAATCAATTTGCCAATAAGTATATATGTTTCTACAAAACTACTCAACCTTGACATGAATCAACTCAGCCCTGTCCTGTTCGTGGACCTTCGGAACAACCACCTTGAGCACGCCGTTCTTCAGCTCCGCCTTCACGCCGTCAGTCTTGCATAACTCCGGCAGGTGATGGAAGCTGCAGAACCCGCCCTCGCCTTTGATGCTGAGAGTGTTCTCCTCCACATTCACCCACACCTTTACGTCCTCTTTATCAAGCCCCTCCATCTCCATTCGCACGTAATAACCCTCATCCGTCTCGCGCACGTACCAATCCTCGTCTCCATCAACTCCTCCGGGGTTAGAGAAGTACCTCCGGGAGGCAGCAAAGCCCGAGCGGGTGGCTGCAGCGATTGGATTTGGGCGAATGAGGGAGATATCCGCGGCGAGGAACTTGAAGTTGGGGAAAAGTCGCCTGAGGGCAAGCGAGGATGCCATCGGAACTCCAAAGATATAAAAATAGCTTGAAGAGCACGAAAACAAAACCTGATTTAATTTCGAGAGCAAATCTCGCACCCAAATTGTAGGGACGTATTTAAATAAGGGGGCAAAAGTGTGGAGAGCAAGCAAACAAGCCAATTTGGATTTTACCTCTACTTTTACCATTACTTCACAAGGGTTAGCCATATGTTAACGTGATTAAAAATTTGTATGAATAAAGATTCGATAGGGTCGTTGAAATTGTTTTTAAAGAAAATATTTTTGAATTTCAAAAGAAAATACTAGTTACACGCTTTTTATAGAAAATATTTTAAGTATTTTTCTAGAATTTTAAAAATATATTTTTTTCTAAAAACGTTAACAGTATTTAAAAACATTTCTCAAACTAATTATAAAACGACTAAAACACAAAAATAAAACAACAATGTAAGATAGATGTCCAACAAGGGCAAAACCGTCATTACATATTTATCCTTATTCACAATCTGACCCAAAAATCTGGTGTCGTATTGGAAAGTATTGCCAATTGGTCCTTCTTCTCCTTTCTTCATCATCTCCTCGGCGAGATCAGTAGAGAAGTAACTCCCAAAGCCAGAAACTTTTTGCCCAAAAAAAGAAAAAGCTTGAAACTTGGCAGTTGGCAGTTTGGTACCGAATCGAAAAAGCGAGTCGACCCGTCCGATTCGGAACCGAGTCAGTGAGCGCGGGAAGCAATGATGCTGGATCTGGGTCCGTTCTCGGACCCGAACTTCGACCCGAAGAAGTGGGTGAACTCGGCGTGCCAGGCCCGGCACCCGCAGGACTCGGTAGACAAGCACATGGTGGATCTCGAGATGAAGATCCAGATGGTCTCTGAGGAGATCGCAGCTTCGCTCGAGGAGCAGAGCGCCTCCGCCCTCCTCCGCGTTCCTCGTGCCACACGTGACGTCGTCCGCCTCCGCGATGATGCCGTATCGCTCCGCTCCGCCGTGTCCTCCATTCTCGACAAGCTCAAGAAGGTAGGTTACCGTTACCAGCTTCTTCTGTCTGTTATACTCTTGTTTGGTTGCTGAGAAAATGTGGGATAATTGAATTGGGATTTGGGATATTTGGGAATTGAACAATCAATCAATAATATGCATTGTGCAGGCAGAGGGATCTTCAGCTGAATCTATAGCCGCGCTTGCAAAAGTCGATATTGTGAAGCAGAGAATGGAAGCTGCATACGAGACATTGCAAGATGCTGCTGGGTTAACTCAACTGAGTGCGACAGTCGAGGATGTTTTTGCAAGCGGTGATCTTCCTCGCGTGGCCGAAACTTTAGCCAACATGAGGCATTGCTTGTCTGCTGTTGGGGAGGTAATGGAAGCTGCATATTATGTTTTTAAAGATATATATTTTTGAGTTGATTCAGTACCATAGTGCATTTTTGGTATGTATTTGGTCATAATGAAGGCATATCGATGATCAACCCCGTGATTTTAGGTTGCGGAATTTGCTAATGTGAGGAAGCAACTTGAGGTCTTAGAGGATAGACTTGATTCAATGGTGCAACCACGTCTTACCGACGCAATATCCAATCGCAAGGTCACAATTCCTAACATTTTTCTTATTGAATTGCTTCCTTTCTATTATAGTCCAACAGCAAATTGCTTCCTTTCTATTATAGACCAACAGCCTTTTTTTGTGGCTAGACTCTAGATGACGATTTATACGTCTTAACAGGTTGAAATTGCTCAAGATTTGCGTGGGATTCTTATTCGAATTGGGAGGTTCAAGTCCATGGAGTTGCATTATACAAAAGTTCACCTAAAGCCCATAAAGCATGCTATGGGAAGATTTTGACGCAAAACAACCACCGCCTAATAAGCTTGCAACTGAGAAGTCTCAATTTGACAGACCATCCGCTACTAATGAATCTCAGTCAGCTGCTCCCACAATTCTATTCTCCACTTGGCTTCCAAATTTCTATGATGAATTGCTACTCTATCTTGAACAAGAATGGAAGTGGTACATTCTTACTCTTTGATTCCCAGACATTTTTCTATTTTATTCTTATTCTTAGGCCTCGTTTGGTAAGTAGAATTGGATTGGAATGAATAACTCTCAGTTTCAAGGCCAATTGATGGTAGAAGTGAATGATGTTTCATTTAGAGCGGATTACGGAGAAGCGGAGTAGACATGAAGAAAACTCATTTCTTCTAATCCTACCATTTTGGAGAGGATTGGAATAGATATGTTTCCTTCGTGAGTAAATCTTCTACCCTGTTATTTATTTTTTCATGTCTCCCCTCAAAACATGCCTTGAGATTAGAAAGTTATCCATTCCATTCCAATCCTACTCTCCAAATGAGCCCTTAGTGTTTTACCATGAGATATTGCATTTGTTTATAACTTGCAATGTAAACTGTCCTTTGCTTATGTTCTTTATCTGGTTTTACAACAGAAAATGGGGACAAGACATATTTTTGAGGCTTTTGCATATTCATGTTCACTATTATTATCTTCCATAATGTTAAGAAAAATTTGAATTTATATCCCTTTAAAGAAGAAAAAATAAATATTCGGGAAAGGTTTAGGAAGTTACAGAATTTTATTCTAAAGTCATGGACTATCAAAATTAGCTTCAACTGTTGTGTATAGGTGCATGGTTGCCTTTCCTGAGGATTATAAGTCTCTTGTCCCAAAACTGCTGGTTGAGACGATGGTAGCTGTTGGGGCAAGTTTTGTTTCCCGTATCAACCTTGCAACCGGAGATGTTGTTCCTGAAACAAAATCATTGGCAAAAGGTTGGATGTGAATTTATGTTCTGTTATTATTAGATGATGTTTTAAATGATTATGATCTGAGACTTGTTCTATTTTACCATCTTTCTTCTCTTAAAACTTGTACTGATCCGAATGACTTAGGTATTGCATTGGTATTAGGTGGTGTGAAATGATACATTGCTACCCATTAGAGGGTTGATATTCTGATTCTGTGTGCTGGATGGATATACAAAGTCTTTTTCCCACCTCTCACACCTTTCACCATTTCGATATTTTTCTGATGATTAATTCTTTATTATCATCATATCTCAAATTTCTTATTTTTAAACTTTAGGTATATTAGATATTCTTTCTGGTGACATGCCAAAGGGTATCAAGATCCAGACGAAGCATCTGGAGGCTTTGATTGAATTACACAATATGACCCAGACCTTTGCAAGGAATATTCAGCATTTGTTTTCGGAATCTGATCTACGTGTTTTAATGGATACGCTAAAGGCAGTCTATCTTCCATATGAATCATTTAAGCAAAGGTACGAAAGATCAGGGTTTGAATTTTCATTCAGGCCTGGTTTTCTTTTCTTACTTGCATTTGGTTCAGTTTGGATTGGCGCTTGATTTCCTTCTTTTTGATATACTCGATATGGTGCTGTCTTTTATTTGTTTGTTTTTTTATTGGTTGATATATTATGGCGAAACATGTGGTAGGTATGGACAGATGGAGCGTGCTATACTTTCTGCTGAGATTGCTGGAGTGGATCTAAGAGGAGCTGTTACCCGTGGTGTGGGAGCTCAAGGAATCGAACTTAGTGAAACAGTTCGCAGAATGGAGGAATCAATTCCCCAAGTTATTGTACTTCTTGAAGCAGCTGTTGAAAGATGCATCAGCTTGACTGGAGGTTCTGAGGCAGATGAGTTAATTCTTGCAATTGATGACATAATGTTACAGTATATTTCTACCTTGCAAGAAACCCTGAAATCGTTAAGAGTTGTCTGTGGAGTGGATCATGGTGGTGACGGTGTTGGTTCAAAGAAGGAGATGGGGTTGGATAAGAAGGACATCCAAAGCGCACGCAAGGTTGATTCGATTTCGAATGAGGAGGAGTGGTCCATCGTGCAAGGTGCTTTACAAATCCTCACGGTTGCCGATTGTCTAACTAGCAGGTCCTCTGTATTTGAAGCTTCCTTGAGAGCTACTCTTGCGAGATTGAGCACCACACTCTCAGTTTCTGTGTTTGGTTCAAGTGTGGACCAAAACCTATCTCATCTTGCTAGTGATGATGGAAAGGGTTCATCTATGGGCGGAAGGGCTGCCCTGGATGTGGCGGCTGTGCAGCTCATTGATGTTCCTGAGAAGGCTCGAAAACTCTTTAACCTTTTAAGTCAGGTATGACTAGATTAATGTTTCACCCTTGCTGTTCTCTCTTCCACTTCCTCTCCCTTCAGTTTAAATGATAGCATTATTTTGTGGGTCGAAATATAAATTGACATCACCTTTTGGTGCAATGCAGTCTAAAGATCCTCGGTTTCATGCACTTCCCCTCGCATCTCAGAGAGTTGCAGCATTTGCTGACACAGTTAATGAACTTGTATACGATGTTCTCATCTCCAAAGTACGGCAACGCCTCAGTGATGTTTCTCGATTACCAATATGGTCCTCAGTTGAAGAACAAAGTGCATATCATCTCCCAACCTTCAGTGCTTACCCGCAGGCCTATGTGACTAGTATCGGTGAATATCTTCTTACTTTACCTCAGCAGTTAGAGCCACTTGCGGAGGGCATTTCGAACAGTGATGCCAACAATGATGAAGCCCAGATTTTTGCAACAGAATGGATGTTCAAGGTACCAACTTACATCTGCAATATTTTGTAGTAACTTTGTGAATCTTATCATAATTGCGTGATAGATGATTCAACGACACTCTTCCATTTTGACAATGCTGTGTTTCTGTACTGAAGGTTGCAGAGGGTGCCACAGCTCTTTACATGGAGCAACTGCGAGGAATTCAGTACATCACAGATCGTGGAGCGCAACAGCTATCTGTCGACATAGAGTATCTAAGCAATGTGCTTTCTGCCTTATCAATGCCAATTCCTCCTGTCCTTGCCACATTCCACACCTGTCTTTCTACCCCAAGAGACCAGCTCAAGGACCTTGTGAAGTCGGACGCAGGAAATCTGGACCTTCCAACTGCAAACCTTGTATGTAAGATCCGGCGTTTGAGTCTAGACTAGTCATAATTTCATCGTGGACGAAATTATTTGAAAGATGTGCAAAACATTCTTTAATTTATACAAAAGGTCGGGTTGTTTTTGTGTTTGAATTAGCCATCGGTCCGATGTTTCAACATTTTGCAGTTAATGGAGTTATCATGTGCTTTAGCAAATACGAGTATGTAAAATTTTGAAATACTAGCAATCGTATACATGCTTTGCATGTGCTTATTAAGATTTTTAAAATAAAATTTACAAAGAGAGAACATAAATTGGTGCTAAAGCTTTTTTATCACGACCTTCAAACCATTTTTCGTCGCTAAAGGGGCTGTTTTTATCTTTAGCAACTGTTTCTTGATAACTATTTTGTCAGTAAAAGTTTATTTTGCTCAAGAGATATGGTTACCTGGTTGTAAAGCTTTGAACGAAAACAGTGAAATTACTTAAAATTTGTGCATATGACGTCCGAATTCTGAGAGAGTGCTCGGATGTAAATGCGGTTGCAACCGGCTTGAATGATTGTTCGGCATTGATCGAGACAAGGTCCGCAACTTGAGGATACATCTTGTGGTTTCTGATAAGAGAAAACTATTGATGGTAACAAAGTATCTTCAGATTTCAAGTGGTCGCTACGGCAGATGGATGAACCACGAGAGGACTGATGATGTTGCTCTTTTCCTGGGTGATGTCTCTCTTCAATGTCTGTTTGTTTTTCAGAGTTGGGATGTCAACCAAATTGCATATACTTCCGCCGGGATGATTGTGTTCAAGGCTACCTGGAACCTCGTGGACCTGAAGATTATGGTGTGTACAACATCGCAGACCGGAGTTTTTCAAGCCCTTCCTTCGTTGATACAAGGTTTACTCGAGCAAGAGAGAACAAGTCGATCGACTCCATCGTCACAAAGAAAGACCAACCGGCTGAGGCATTTATTTGAGATTGTGATCAATATTCTCTCCTCGAATTGTATAAGGCGGATTTCAAGACATTTTACATCTTCTAACGGAAAAGCCTTTAGCGAGAAATGTTTCCAATTAGCGATAAATATTTCCAAGTACCAGCTCATGTTCCGGATGCTTTGGGTTTGCGTATCAAGACAAGTCATGACATACATCTTTTATTTGCACAGCTTCTTACCGGTAAGAACACGTTCAATATCTGAGTTGAATATTTACACATATTCTTACCTGTAAGAATACATTCATTATTTGAACTGAATATTTTCGAAGGTTCTTACATTTACCGGTAAGAACGCTTCATATATTTATTAGATTCTTTTTTAAAAAATTATTCTGAAATATTAGGCAAAGTGTTAGAAAAGTACATGGCGTGTAATGACTTGTCTTAACACTCTAACCCTCGCATCGTGGCATGCCATAACAAGCCTCATGAATTGTCGACAGAATGCATGGTGTGTCATGACATGCATTCTGCCAACAATTCACAACGCTTGTCATGTCGTAGCCAATAGTGATGTTCTGACGTGCCACGATGCGAGAGTTAACGTGTCAAGACAAATCTTGACATGCATTTTCTAACAACTTTGACACGCTAGGGTTTTTGGGGAGGGGAAATATCTATCGTACGCAACCTTACCCTTACTTTGAAAAGAAGCTATTTCCATCACTCGAACGCATGACCTTTAGATCACAAAGGAGCAACATTTCTGTTGCATCAAAGCTCACCCACAGTAAATATCATCAATATCCATTGTTTTCCTATATCTTGTCGATATAGTGTGAAGTTTGCATTTCACTCCACTTTCATATCAATCCTTAATGTTTTGGATGTTTTGACTAGATTATCAATAATTTCGTGAATATTTTATACTTAAAACTAACCATGGAAATATTGGTTTGGTTTAGCGCATTCGAAGTTAGCTTCAGCAAGTGCTGAGTGGATTACTGGATTATGATCGTATTTCATTTTCCCATCGGTGACTATGGTGTCTACAAGTTTGAAGATCATACAACTTTACAAGACATCGATTATGCGACAATGTCAAAAGTGATACCGATCATATTCAATCATTTCAGTTCCATTTGGTAACTCAATAATCCCTACTCTTAAATTAGTACTGCAAGATGAACAGGGACGCCCTCCGCAAACCATTGCTAGCCATGAGAGATATTTGACCCGTAGCGAGTCTAATCGTCGAGGTTTGCCGGATTTTATCTTGCCCTTCCTGCAAAACTTCAAAAGAAATGCACTAATCTGCAGAGTTATGATTGGCAGTTACCTCCATTCACCGTTGACGGCAAATCTTATATCGCATCCCAGTCTGGTCAAGTAGATGTCCATGCCCATGGATACAACAGTTATGCTCAAAAGCAGCTCCTCAGAGACCGAATGGTGACCGAGACAGAAATTTGAACTCCAAAACTACCTATTTCACATGACAGGGTAGTCTTTCAGATTATCCCCAGTCATGACTGGTCTTTATTCTCTCACCGAAAAGAATGCTTGCACCGATCTAACCATTACAAGTGTAAAAACCAGACCAATTATTTCTAGATGCATGGAAAGTAACCTAAATACCTCAAGAGGAATGAACATGTAGCACACAATCCACGCATTTGACGACTGGTTTCTTCGGATCCCCATCCCGGTTAAACAAGCAGCACCAGCAACAGAGTGGTTAAAACTAAAAACCAGATACAGGAGGATGGAAAAGAAAGGGAAAAGTGTACCTATGGAAAGAAGGAAATATTCCATGGGTTGGTGACTGGTAAATATGCGATAAATGTGTTACCTCAAAAATGATTAACAATCATCATGTCGCCGGCTGCGGTGTTTTCATATCTTAATATGTGTAAACACACAAGTTTCATACAGCAAAAGGAAATTTGCCTCATCCCAAGTCTAAAATGAAATGTAAAAATGAGTTACAATAATAAAATTATACCTACCTCAACCATTTTCTCCGCTAATAATACTGATGAATGGGTAGATGGTAGTCTCAACAAAGATATGAGATATGGAAACTACCTCATTAAATTTCAAAGCTCAGACATCATTCTACACGATTCATCAATACGGGCGAACTGGACTTCTAGGTGACCTCCTGTGACTGTGCCTAACAGGGGAACGTGACCTGCTTTGATCACGGTACCTATCCCTTCCTCCATCTCTTCCATTTCTGGACCTATAGTCCACCCCTCTCCCTCCATCCCGACTACCTCTGCCATTCCACTCCCTTGACCTTTCATAATCTGAGTCTCGTTCCCGATATCTGTCCCGCTCCCTGTCACGATCTCTATCACGATACCTGTCCCTATCACTTGAATTACTTCTCCTTCTATCCTCCTGTTCCTTCTCCCTTTGTTTCCTCCGTTCTTCTTCTTCTTTCTCCCTCGCTAACCTTTCTTCTTCCCTTGCCTTCTCCTTAGATTCCTGAAAAATAAGGTCCACGTTTGTAGTCCCTGAGCAAGAAATCATGTTTTTCCTTGACTTCAATACTTCATTAATCAACAGAGAGACTCACCTTGAACTCAGCGATAAAATCCCGAACCATGCCATAACCAATATGCTGCTTCCCTGTAACATGAGACTGAGTTCTCTCTACAGCATCATTGGCCACAAGAAATGAACCACAGATCTCACAGAGTGCCATTTTTTTCTCCTGTGCCAGCATCAACACTTTATCATTCTGGGGCGGCTGAGCCAAGGCTGTCTTTTTAGAATTAAGCATATCCACCTACCAAATGAAAGGATAAAGAAATCAAGTGGTCAAATTTCATGTAGCAGTATACTCCACAGTAATAATTAAAAATCCCAAACATCAGCACCTTTCTCATGAGTGCTTCAGCTTCATCGACCTTTCCAGCTTCACCTAGGGCCTCCACTTGTTCCAGTAAGTTCTTTATCTTTTCCTCCAGAACAGATAGCTGTTCAGACTTTTCAGCTGACAGTGGAGGAGCTGGGGCAGGTTCCACCTCCTGAGCAAGGCGTTCTCGCCCACGCTTTACTCTTCTATCTAAATCCATCACCTGAAAAGCAAATTATAATAAGACAAAGAAATATAGGTGAAAAATCATACATCACGAAGAGAAATGAGGAGACATGCAAAACATACCAATTTCTCACAAAAGTGAGCAAGTTCAGCTTCAAACTTGGGTATAAGCATCATGCCGTGGGGACTCTTCAAAACTAAAATCAATAACATAAAGAATCAAAATTGGAACTACATAATATAATGACAACTTTGGAACAGAAAACAACAGAAATATTAAAACAAAGCAAAAAGCAGCGAGTTTTGAGCTAGAGAACAAAACCAGAAAAGCGAAAACAAAAAAGATTGATATGGATAATCTTTGGTTTGGTCTCGTGCATTGAATTGTGATATCAAAACTAAAATATACCTGGAGTACTTATGAAAAGGGAGAGTGTATGAAATGACCTCTGGTCATCACCCAAGGTCAAAAATAAAAGTTTAATTTTTGCAAAACCTTCTAGATACTCATCTTATAAACATAAATATAGCAATTATATATCACTTCCCTGGTAATCTGTGCAAAACATCTGTACATCAACAATGCATAGATAAGAAAAATTAAATAATTAATCTGAAAAGGGGCAAATAACCTAGAACCGAACCCCTACTGAATACAAAAGAGAGTAGACCATGCATAATTAACTGCCAAAATAAATAATTGATAGACGATTCATGCAGCGGACATTTTATTGGATGTCTCATGCAGCAGTGCATCACTATGAGCAACTGTTTAGCTACTGCTGACTTGGAATTGATAAACGATTCTCCCCTACGTGGAAAGATCTGTTCAAATGCGTAAATAAGTTACCACAAAAAGAAAAACCCAGCTACTGCTTAGAATACCATGTAAGGCATGTCAAAGTTTCATCCTACACCCTACACCACACATAAGAAGCAGAAAACTTGTTTGTACGAAGACAAGAGAAACAACATTCTTACAACAGAAGCATATAAATGATCAAAAAGTCTTACGGGTTAGCAAGCTAAACTTTTTCAAAAATCATATCGTTTTTTTTATAGAATTCGTGACAAAACAATTCCAAACAAGCACAAAGGACCCTCTTTTGATTGCAAATATAAACTCCGTACATAGCAGAACGAGAAAACATTAGATAACATTGTGATAGGTTCACATTGCCAAAAAATAAAAACTCTCAACTCTATAAATGTTCAGTCTATCACCTTTCTTTCAACTTTGGGTCATGTATTTTAGAGCAAGGTCCTGATACAAAAACAAAAAATTTACAGTCAATGAAAGCGTGCACTCCACAAAAGCAAATTTAAGCATCTGATACGAAAAACTGATATCCCTAACCATGATTCAAGCATTTGATCTTATTCCTCAGCAAGAAACTTGGTGTTAAACAATTGAACATCAATACAATTTCCAACCGCAACTCACCTAGATCGCTTCGAGTGTTAACGAAGAGATCGTGGGGACAAAATCGAACCATATAGGCTCCACAAACCTCCTTATCATCCCAAGTAATTTCCTTGTACCCCTTTCTCTCCTCCTCTGTCAAATTACGAGCTGGAATTCACCACAAACCAGTATTCAAAACCAAATTCAAACCAATTCAAACCAAAATCAACCAAGAAAAACATCAAACAAATTAGAACCCATTAAAGCCATTATCTTTTCTAAACAAATCCAAAGTCCCCAACTCATAATCAGCAACTATCGTTTCTAAACAGAGGGGCGATCAATTAGGGTTTGAACCTGAGCCCATAAGTTCGTCCAGCAGAGCTCTCTGAGCATCCATGGCTGTGTCAAGTGATGATTTGGGATTGGGAAGGGGAACAACAAAAAGAAACCGATTTGTGCTTTTGGAGAGAAGAAATCCAGAAGGGTTTGTAGCGGAGGAACCAGTGAGGATTGAGCAGTGGAATAGGTATCAATGGCTTCTAGGGTTTTGCTCTCCAAGGACTAGAATCTCAGAGAGACAATATGAGAAGAAGAGAAAAGAGGCGAACCGGGCCTGGTCTTGTCCGTTTCCGTGCGAGCCGCTCTTGGTCACCGGAATTGAACTTTTTTTTTAACAAAATTATAGGTTAATTATATTAAGTTCATCTAAATTGCGGAAAATCCCAATTTCGTATTGTTTACCGCATAAATGTGAAATACCAACTCTATAGCTCATCGATCTTGTAATATGTGAATTAGCAACAATCCGTGATCAGTGATGGATGTACATTGGGATCAAGGTGGTCTCAAAACCAATCAAAGGCGGGAAAATATACATGTAAAGGTTAGATTCTTCGAATGTTTAATCAGGTCCTTTTTATGCCCACAAAGTATTTGATGTAAACCTATTAGGCATATCTTGACATCAGCATATTGCGTTGACACGCTTAACAAATACTATCAATAACACTTGACACTTGACAAATTCGAAGACCTTTCCATGCTTGTTTTTCAACTTCTTAATAGTCCTGGAACTACTTTGGTCTCAATAGTACATCCACCCTGGCTTGGAGATAATAGATAACTTATACAAATTTTCCATAAGATACAACGAATTACGCATCCAATATGTTGAAACCAAGTCTAAAAACAAGTAGAAAATACAAGTGATATTGGCGAAGGATATTCGAACATGTGACGTATCGTGACCTAAATGAATTTTTGGCAGAGGTTAAATTTGAAGTCTAGTTTTGTGGAGATAACAAGCTTGGACTGTTGTCGACTAAAGACAAGAAAGCCTGCTACCGTTAGCGAGTTGCATGGCATGCAGTCCAACCACAGAAGCTAGTATGCTATTATCCAAAATCCTGCAACTTCTGTGGTGCTCTTTATCTCTCGTTTCTTCTACTAATCCAACCCCAAATCCTCCCATCGAGCTAGCGCGATTCATACTTCATCGCCAATCACAACCAAAACATCTGCTGCGTACATTTTCAATCATGAACGACACAGTAGACAAACTTGTTATCTTCCTGGCAAAGAGGGACGGCATTGACAAGCTTGTCAAAACCTTCCAATACGTCTCCAAGATTGCGCACTGGCATGCCGAGGCCAAGAACCCCGAAGTTGCGCAGCGAGCCAAGCAGTGGGAAGTTGCATCCGGGCTTAGCCGGAAGGCCTTTCGAACGGGGCGGTTTCTCACGGGATTCAATGCGCTGAGAAGAAGCCCCGGCTCCAACCCTACGCTTCGGTTCCTAGCCGTTCTTGCTAATGCAGGGGAGATGGTCTACTTCTTTTTCGACCATTTTCTCTGGCTGTCCAGAATCGGGACTCTGAACCCGAACCTGGCGCGAAAGATGAGCTTTATATCGGCGTTTGGTGAGTCGTTTGGGTATGTTTTCTTCATCGTTTTGGATTTCATTGCGTTGAAAGAGGGCGCGGAGGCGGAGAAAAAGGTTGCTGCCTTGGAGGACAAGTCTGCGGAGACGAAGAGCGAGAGTTTGAGAAAGATTAGGGCTGATAGAGTGATGAGATTAATGGCAGTGGCGGCTAATGTTGCGGATTTGATCATCGGAATCGCGGATATCGAGCCTAATCCGTTCTGTAATCATGCCGTCACTCTTGGGATTAGTGGTTTGGTATCTGCATGGTCCGGTTGGTACAGAAACTGGCCTTCATAAGTGATTGAGCTCTTGTTAATTGTGTTTAGAGCTGAAGTTTGTAAATTCAGTATATCTACTGCATCGTTATACATATATATATATATATATGTTTAATTTGAAGTTATTAAACCAATGCCACCTAAACTTGCTTTGTTGCAATTTGCTTTATCTTAACACGTGAAGTAATTATATAACATGATCGTATTCCAATATTACATATTTTTAAATAATGTACTAAAGTTTACGTTTCTTTTTAACTGGAAACTCAAATATTACATATTTGTGTCCTACAACAAAGAGGAAATGAAGTGGAGTGTTAAATTAAATTTTGGGTTTTGAGTCTAGTCGTCTTTAAGGAGCATTGTAAACTCAAAATTCTAAATTATCATATACACAAGGGATGTACTTCAACCAAAAGATTTAGAAGGTTTTGTGTTAGAGACGACCCTTACTAAAAGATTTGGGATGATCTCATAAGTATGCAGATTAATCATATGATGAAAGAGATATTGAAATACAATTGATTGATTAGAAATCTAAATATTCACCAAAAAAACGACACGTTGTTTTCGCCTCTCGGTAGGCTTTCGTGTACCTTTTGGCTTCTTAGCCTGGAATGAAGTTCCTAGTTTCCTAAAAAAAAAAAAAAAAAAAAAAAAAAAAATGATCCAGTCCTCTTGAAACGACATCGTATACAACAACATTTGTCGGGGACATCGACAAGTCGTATTACACCGAACGACGGGAAAGAAGACTACAATCCAAACAAATCCGAAGGCCGAAGCGGAAGAGCGAGACTCGCAAAGACGAGTTTTTAAATAAGCGTTAAGAAGACAAAAGTTGACCCACGTAAATCTAGTCCCAGTCCGGATCCTCCCTCACTAATTAGTCCCGGGTTTTCCCAAAGCGGTGCCGGAGAGAGCAGAGCAGATCGGATGGCGGATGGGACTGCGCACTCGCGGTATGTGAAGCTGACGAAAGAACAAGCGCCGGCAGAGGACATTAATCCCGGCGAGCTCAATCAGCCCATCGAAGTTCCTCAGGTTTCTCACCCCACGCTCTCTCTCTCTCTCTCTCTCTCTCTCTCTCTCTAGACCAATTCGTCGTATTTTTTGTTAATTTGACATGGGTTTGCTCTGGAAACTCCATTGCTAATATCCCATTTGTTTTCCTGTATGATTTTGTATGAATTGCATTTCGTTAAAACTTGTGTTGGTGGGATTTGGTTTGGATTGTTAAATTTTTCTACTTTTTGTATGTATTTTCTGATTAGAAGGTTTTTGGGGGGATTGAAGAAATTTATAGTAAAAAAATTGGTGCTTTGTAATTTGTATAATGCCATTTCTGGGATAAGATTTAAATCAGATTTTTGAAGTCGTATTGGTACATCAAGGAATTGTTCAGATCTAGAATTTTCGTAGTTTTCGAAAGAGGACGACTAGTTGGTTTTGGCTACAACTTGAATATGGTTGATCAACTACATTTATGTTGTAGGTTTATGGGGTAGATGTTGATGAATTTGTGAATTTCACATGTGAGTTCGTTTGCATTGGAGGGTTATAATTTTAAGTCGTTGGATCGGATGAGAATGTGATTCGGCAACTGATCTTGTGTGTTACGGGCCAGTTGAATGTTCACAGGTGTAACGAATGTGGACAGCCTTTACCCGACAGCTATCAGGCCCCTGCAGATGAGCCTTGGACAACCGGAATTTTTGGCTGTGCTGAAGATAGAGAAAGTTGTAAGTTGATATGGGAACTAGCTTTTCATTTCTTGTACAGCGACGCAGTATGAAGTTTACGCTTACCTTTGATTTCCTTTTATTTTGATCTTTTGCTTTTGCGGGGGATTTGGTGTCCCACTGAGCTTGCCTCATAAACAAAGCGCAAAGCCCTTGCAATAGGGTTTTTTTTTTCACAAATGTGCAACTATAGCAGTGCATGCGTTAAATTCTATGATGCTTATGGCTACATTTGATAAGATGCCTTCTTCCTTTCGATTTTTCTGGGGTATATTTCGTCTATTGGAGTTTGTCTCTGGAATATTGAATGCTCGGAACAAGCTATCATGCTTGCCGTTCAAAGTTTGAAATTTATAACTCTAGCATTGCCCTGTTTCATATTCTTTTATTACAGTTTATTCGTCTTATGCTCTGAATGCTGCCTCTAACTTTATCAAGTAGGATGTTTCTGCCCATTCAATTGGTTGACCATAGTCCTGTGATTGATAAGCATGAACGTCTTTGCTCGTACTACTGTGCTGTGCATCTAGACTCTAGTTCCAGTAATTCATTTCTGTAATATAAAAAGATGGTCTACTGATAACACTGCCTTTTGTTACCTCTTCAGGCTTGACAGGGTTATTTTGTCCATGTGTTCTGTTTGGGCGCAATGTTGAGAGCCTAAGAGACGACACCCCTTGGAACAGACCTTGCATTTGTCATGCCGTTTGCATTGAAGGTGGTATGGCTCTGGCAGCATTAACTGCAATCTTCCATGGCATTGACCCAAGGACTTCATTTCTTATTTGCGAGGGTCTGTTATTTTCTTGGTGGATGTGTGGGATATATACAGGTCTTGTCCGGCAATCCTTGCAGAAGAAGTATCATCTAAAGGTAACCTTTTGTTTGTCCGTATCTCAAGTTTATGTCATGTGGAATATATTTTTCCTAACTGAAGCTTGCTGGATGCTTAATTGCGTTGTTGACTGCAGAACTCGCCGTGTGACCCATGCTTGACACACTGCTGCTTGCACTGGTGCGCCTTGTGCCAAGAGCACCGGGAGATGAAGGGACGCCTCTCGGACAATGCTGTGATGCCAATGACTGTCGTCAACCCACCCCAAGTTCAACAGATGAAGTCTGCTGACGACAACCAGGACTCTGCTGCACCATCCTCTACCAGCAATAATGGCCACACCAATATGGAGATGCAGGCGTTGTAGGATTTAAGCTAAGCGTCATTTCACTAGGGTTTAATGTGTGTGAGCTGCCGCCATTGTTGTAAAATGGTTTGATGTCACATACAAGGGAAATCGTCTATACAGTTGCTTAATATTAATCTGTGATTCTGTATAAACCTCAATCTATATAGAGTCTTATCCTTTTCCATTGCAGTGAGGATTGGAGACATTTTAATTTTGAAAGATTTCACTTCTAATTGGATACATTGTTGTGTGCTTGTTTTTTTAAAGTTGAGGGGGAAGGGGAGCCTCCCCCCTGAGGGCAGGGCATACCACAAGCCTTAGAGGACATACTAAGGTGTCTTAGTCTATTTTTTTGGTTTTTACAAATCGCCCATTAAGAGGAATTGCTGACAGATGGACTAGAAAGGTTTTTAGTGTATTTTTCTCTCTTTCTATTCGATTTTTTCAATTGATGCGAGGATCACGTGAAGGACTTTTATGCAATAGGAATGTCACCATGGTGGATTCTCATATCAATCATGCACTGCACTTAAAACACTTGTTTGTACATTATTAGTTTGAGATATGACTGTAATGGTCCCTGTTGTACATAAGTGAACTAACATAACTCTCAATTCGAGGGTTTTCAAGGCGGAGGGTTTTTTAGAGGTCCAAGCTTGCCTTCCGGCTCTCTCTCTTTTGTTGGTTGACATAGTATGTGAGGTTCGTTTGGAAGTTCTTTTAGAATAAGTGAAATCATCTTTAAAGAAAATATTTTTAAATTCTAAAATCACTTAAAGTGGTTCCTTTAATGTTATTTCAGGATTCATTTGCATTTTTATTATTAAGGACTGGTTCCATAAATATTTTCACCAAAAACGTTTTCCTGCCACTTTAGAATAACTTCCAAACGAGTTTGTAATCTTTCTGTTTGGGGTTTGGGGATGAAATCCAACGTTTTCAAAATGAACCTGCCATATGATTCATAACAAAGTGAATACATATTAATTAATTTTAATTAAGTCCACGTGGATTAATCTCTCTTTTAGCTGGCAATTGCCAAGTAAAAAACATAAACATACAAGGACTTCTTATCCTAAAAGGGCTAATTACATTTTAGTAGCCAAGTTCTAACAGGTTTAGGATATAAAAACAGAATAATCATTCCTCCTCCTACGCTAATTAAAATACATATACGCCTCACAGAAAAAAACTGTATATATATAAAATGTATGGGACTCTTCACTAAATTAAATTCCCACAAGAAAAAATTGAACATATGTTTTTCGCTTCTTCCATCATGCACAGTGAATTTTCTCCCGGTCGTGGTGGTGGGTACGCTGAGCAAAAGCATGCGACAGAAAACCCACCACCTTGTTATGGACTTTCGATGTTGTCCCTAGCTTGTTCTACTAAATCCGGCAGTGCTGCGGTGGAGACGGGGGTGGAAGATGTCCCTTATAGTAAAAAGGACGTGAGGGATTATACGTACACGGGGGTGGGAGATGTCCTTTATAGTAAAAAGGACGTGAGGGATTTTATTTACAGACAAGATGTGGAGAAGCACAGGACGAAGAAGTTTATGCAGAGAGAAGATAACCTGGAGAAGTACATGAAGAGTGCGGTAATATATAGGGCTAAAAGAAAGAGACGTGCCTCGCTTGCTGGTTGTTTGGAGTTCTTGACGACTATTTTCTGCCTCAAATTTTAATAGCTCGAGTTTAGGTCATAGGGTTAGTCAATTTGGTTCTTTTTTTGTTTCATGTATTGTAATGTTTTTAATTTGCTCAATATGTTTTAAGATCTTTGTCATTTTTTATAATTCGATGAACAATGTACTTGCGTTATGAGATAATGTTTTATTTGTTGGTATATAATAAAAGAAATATGTTCAATAAATGACTTGTAACTTAAGTGATCAGTTCTTCAGCCTTGCACCCGAGGTCTATGCTCGAACACATGTAACGGTGTAGTTTTGTAGGAAAAAGAAGTTGAGTGGCAGATAAGACAGAATTATAGTGTTGTTATACCGATCCAAAATAATACTAATTACAAAAATCGTCGATCTTAATATGGGCTAGAAATATAGCAAATCAGAAAAGCAAATAAAATAGGAGTTGTTTTTTTTTTGTTATTAATTACCAGTTGTTGAAAGGCTAGGAGTTTGTAAAAGACAATATACTCTTTTTTATTTTATTTTATGTTTTTTACTAAAATATGTTGTGAAAAATAATAAATTTACTAACAAACCACTGTCTCACTACGTGAGGTTTTTTGTGAATTATTTATTTATTTAATTTTTTAAATCCCTAGCGAGAAAATCCCAATTTGAAAATATTATAAATGTTGTCCCATTTTGTTAGTCTCACGATAATTCCATGCCAAACAAAGGAAACTCATTTGTATTTCGAAGAAAGTTGCATAACGGTAATAATATGAGTAGGGTTCTCTCTTCTCCCCTTGCATACTTTTTTTTTTGTCTCTTTTTATATAAAAAAAATCAACACAAGATACTGACGTAACTTAATCGTAACCGTTTAAAGATAAGGAGAGGAAAGATGAAGGAGATTAAAAGGGGAGATAATCTGCCAATCAACCATGTCCTCCCAATCATGCGAACATGTACATTGCCACGTGGCTTGACGTTTAACCATTTTTTGAAGTTTTTTTTTAAACTAAAATGGTGATTGAGATTTACATAACTTCTCACCTTGGTCCCTAAGATTTAAAATCAATACAAGTGGTATTTGAGATTATTCACCATCAATTATTTTAGTCATTCTGTGAATAGTTATGTTAAATAAAGATTAAAATGACAAAACTACCTTCAATTTAATAAACAATGGGCCAAAATGATTTGACAAAAAATTAAGGGTATTTTTGTCATTTCATCCTTATTTAATGAAGATTTTTCACCGAATGACTAAAATGATTGATGGTGGACAACTCAGGGACCAATTCTATTGATTTTAAATTTCAGAGATCAAAATGAAAAGTTATACAAATCTCATGAACCATTTCGGATAAAAAACTTCATCAACCTTCACAACCCATCACCAAAACTATGCCAATTTTTAATTGCTCAAATATATAAGTAACTCCTTCATAGAACAAATGTTGCCCTAACTGCTCTCAGTTTTGCAAGGTCATACAACAACAACAATCAAATCTTATCTTACTAAGTGGGGTCGGTGTATGAATCCTAGAACGGCACTGGCCTCAGTTTTGCGTTAAGTATTTTGTTAACTCAAGTACTCCATATATTTACTTAAAAGTCTTTTTCCAAAAATTTCTAGATCTTTCTCTATCTTTTTGCCCTGAGTCTTCTAATATAAGTCTTCGGTTCACATATATATCTAAACCACCTTAGCTGATTTTATTTCATGTTTTCTTGAATTGTAGTGGTGGCATCTAAAATCAAACATGCATTACACATAAGACAGGTATTTATACATTATTAGTTTGATATATCACCCTAGTGGTCCTAATTGTACGTAAGTTTGTCTTGAGCGGTAGCAAGTTCGATGAAGAGATCAGCAATAACCCCTTGAAAACCAATATAACTCTCCTTTTGTTGGTTAATATAGTATGTAATATTTCTGTTTGGGAATGAAAGCCAACGTTTTCGATCGAAAAAGAAAAAAAGCTGCCATATGATTCATAACAAAAGTGGATAATCACATGCATATAAATTAGTTTTAATTAAGTTCTCGTAGATTAGTCACATATTAATAAAGGGAATTGTTATTATAGCACTTTAAAAATTTTATTTTACACTCTAAGCTTTCTGTATTAGGAAAGAAAAATACATTTGTGAGGAGTTTAGAATGAGATTTTTGGAGTGCTAATAACACTTCCCTTAATTAATTCTAATTAAAGTCCAATTAACACATTAATATAAAAGGACTTCTTATACTAAAAGGACTAAGTTGCCAAGTTCTAATAGGTTTAGGGATATAAAAACAGAGTAATCATTCCTCTCCTACGCTGATTACAATACATATTTGCCTTGCAGAAAAAAACTACATATATATATATATATATATATATATATGGGACTCTTCACTAAATTAAATTCCCACAAGAAAGAATATATGTTTTTCGCTTCTTCCATCATGCACCGTGAATTTTCTCTCGGTCGTGGTGGTGGGTACGCTGAGCAAAAGCACGCGACGGAAAACCCACCACCTTGTTATGGACTTTCGATGTTGTCCCTGGATTGTTCTATTAAATCCGGCAGTGCAGCGGCGGAGACGGGGGTGGGAGATGTCCTTTATGGTACAAACGACGTGGGCGATTTTCTGTACAGAGAAGATGACCTGGAGAAGCACACGAGGAGGAAGTTTATGCAGGGAGAAGATGACCTGGAGAAGTACATGAAGAGTGCGGTAATATACAGGGCTAAAATAAAGAGACATGCCTCGCTTGCTGGTTGTTTGGAGTTCTTGAAGACTATTTTCTGCCTCAAATTTTAATTAATATATTGAGTTTAGATCATAGGGTTAATCAATTGGTTCCTTTTTTGTTTCATGTATTGTAATGTATTTAATTTGCAATATGTTTTAAGATTTTTGTCATATTTTATAATTCGACGATACAACAAACTTTCGTTATGAGATGATGTTTTATTTGTTGGTATATGGTAAAAGAAATATGTTGAATGAATGACTTGTAGCTTAAGCGATCACTTCTCCTGTCTTGCACCTGAGGTCTATGCTCGATCACATGTTAACAGTATTGGTAGTAGTACTAGTTTTGGGAAGGGATATTCTCCGGATCTCTTCCACCTAATCTTCCTCATCAAACAATCCGGGCCCTTGAAATTTGATCCAACGGCTAAAGTTATTATAACTTTTAGAGTGGACTCCTATTTGTAGCTATTGGATTAAATTTCAAGTGTTCGGATTGTTTGATGAAGATGATTAGGTGGAAGGGATCCGGAGAGGATCCCTCTCCGTAGTTTTGTACGAAAAATAATTTGAATGCCAAATAAGATTGAATGAGGGTGTTGTTATTGTAAACTTTAACAAAAAGCTTATGGTATTGTTCACTTTAACGAAATTTCGATCCAAAATCATACTAATTACGTCAAAAATATGTTAATAAGGCCCTGAAATGTAGCAAATAAAAAAAGCAAATAAAATGGGAGTTGTTATTAATTACGTCCCCTAGCAATCACGATTGCAAAATTTATTTATTTATTTTTTGAAACCCCTAACGAGAGAAGCACAATTTGAATTTTATAAATATTTCACAATTTTGTTACTCTCACGATAATTTCATATCAAACAAAGGAAACATGTTTGTGTTTTGAAGAAAGTTGTGTAACGGTATAATTACAGGAGTATGATTCTCTTTCTTCTTAATTCATTCCATTTCTTTTCATTCTTCTCACATTTTATTTTTGTCTCTCTATAAAAAATCAATATTAACATAGCTTAATCGAAAACTATTTAAAGAAGAGGGGAGGAAATATTGAGGAAAGAGAATCCACCAATCACCCATGTTCTCCCAATCACGCGAACGTGTACTTTGCCACGTGGCTTGGCGTTTAACCATTTTTCGAAAGTCCATCAACCTTCATGAGAAAATTTTCATTGTAACCGAAATATGAGTAATACATCATTTGTTTTTATATAAGTTGTGAGAAATTTTACTTTTTAAGTTATTAACTTTTTTCATACATATATCTATCATTTGTATAATAACACGTGGTGTAACACCCCGTGTTCTAATCATATTAAAAAATCTCTCCTTCACAACTCTTCACCAAAACGTTGCCATTTTTTACTTGCTCAAATATTTAAGTAACTCCTTTACAGAACAAATGTAGCGTTAACTGTTCGATTTCACCGCTGTTTTTTCACTCTCATTTACACCAAAACTCTCCTCTAAAATTACCTTGAGGACTCAATTCATTCTTCAACATCGTGTTTTGATTTGGATCAATGGCTAGGATTGCATTGACCGCTCGACTTCAGAAAGCAATCACTCCCAACGCCCTCCGATCTTATCTTGCAGAGTTCATATCAACCTTCTTCTTCGTGTTCACTGTTGTTGGCTCCATGATGTCGTCAAGTGAGTCTTTCTTTCCATTAGTTTTCACTTTTCGTGTTAGCAGAAATACCTTCCTATCCCAAAATGTATACGTTTCTTTCTCACGCGACGTGTGAAAAAGGAGCAAATCATAATTTAAACTTAAAGTTTTTGTTCCAGTTTTAGTGTAATGTAAGTTTTGAAAATAAAATTTAATTTATTGTGTATGTTGTGTCCGTTACACTGAGACAAAAATATCGTCACTTTAAGTACTTGGTTGTGTTATAATGTGGCAGGGAAGTTGATGCCGGATGCTGCATCATCAGATCCAGCAGGTTTGGTGATGGTTGCCGTTGCCAACGCCTTCGCATTGTCCTCGGCTATGTACATTGCAGCCAACGTCTCCGGCGGCCACATCAACCCGGCAGTCACCTTCGGCATGGCGGTCGGAGGACACATTAGTGTCCTCAATGCCATCTGCTACTGGATTTCTCAGATGGTGGCTTCTATCATGGCATGCCTTCTCTTGAAAGTCACTACCGTTGGACAGGTAAAAAAAACCTTTTCTCTATAACTATTTTTCATTGTAAGTTTTTGGACCTCAATGCAAGCTAGTATTTTTTCAATGAATCTCATACGTTTTATATTAAACCGATTTCAACTTGCGTACAATAGACCTTTCTTCGATTCTCGCAAAGCGGAGAATCTTGCCTGGTTTGGAGTCGCCTTTTCAAAAGGATTTCAAACTGAACTAATATTAACCCTAATCTCACACCCTAGCGACAAACTTTTTTAGGGGACTGCGCAGCATGTTCCGACCTACGGAATCACCGAAGAGATGACGGGTTTCGGGGCGTCGGTTTTGGAGGGCGTGCTGACATTTGGGCTGGTGTACACTGTTTATATTGCCGGTGACCGAAGGCATGGTGCATTTGGGGGCATTGGACCCCTGGCAGTTGGGTTCATGGCCGGAGCAAGCGTTTTAGCAACCGGGCCGTTCTCTGGTGGGTCCATGAACCCGGCTTGTGCATTCGGGTCGGCAGTCGTTGCCGGCAGTTTCAGGAACCAGGCGGTTTATTGGGTGGGGCCTCTGATTGGCGCGGCGGTTGCTGGAGTACTGTATGATAATGTGGTGTACCCTACCCAATGTCCGGATTCTCTTACGGGGATTTCTACGGGATTTTCTTCAATTAATGTTTCTTAGATATTTGTATTAGGCATTAATCTTTGTTTGTTTTATAACATTTTTCAGTTGTTATTGGTGTAGCATTTGTAGTTAACCCAAGACTACTCTTTTTGCTTTAATTTTTAATTAGTACTAATCAATTCATGTACTTTGTTTTACCCTTTGTTATTTGTGGGGGAGTAATATTTATCCTAATTTAAAAAATTTTTTTTTTTTTAACAAATCCACGTTAAAGGTTGGGGGAAGTGGGTTAAGTCTCACAACGAGCCAGCCATAATAATGTGGTTCAAATTACCTTTGACAAGAACTGAGCCTAAGACCTTTCACTTACAAATGAAGAGGAATATCACTACACTGTAGTACTAAATAACAATTTTTTATATTAAAACACTGAATAATTAGAATAGATTGAAATACGGGCCTAGAACCATCATGTGATTCACTAATGACAAGAATTAAACTCAGAACGTACCGCATAAAATACGGATTTAGAATTCATTTTCAATTACCGAGCCACTCCATAGTGGTTTATTTAGAGTCCATTCTGACATTTGTTAGTGTGTTTTAAGGCCCAAACCTGACCTTTTAACAAACCGGTCCAATAGAACTCCAAACGACGTCGTCCGGTTCCTCATTGTTGAATCGACAGAGCCAAGTTCCCGCCTTGCACGTCCCGCGTGATGAGATTGAAAATTCGAAAACTTTCGACTTCAGAGAGGAAAGAGAAGCACAAGCAGAGAAAGCTCTTCGTTCTACGGTTTTCAAATCTCTCACTGTCCGTACACCCTCCATTGAAATCGAAAACTCTCGGTTCTCGGCAGAGAATGTACATCAAGGAGGTATGCCTGGAGGGCTTCAAGTCCTACGCGACCAGGACGGTGGTGCCGGGGTTCGACCCCTATTTCAACGCCATAACGGGTCTGAACGGGTCGGGCAAGTCCAACATCCTCGACTCCATCTGCTTCGTCTTGGGCATAACAAATTTGCAGCAGGTCCGCGCCGCCAACCTCCAGGAACTCGTCTACAAGCAGGGCCAGGCCGGAATCACCAAGGCCACCGTCTCCATCGTCTTCGACAATTCAGACCGCGCCCGTAGTCCTCTCGGATACGAGGCACTTTCCGAAATCACCGTCACCCGTCAGGTATTTCGTTTCCCGGGTTTTCACCATTGGGTCTCGTTTTACTGTTCAATTTCGCTTACATAATCTTGAATTTTGCTGGGTTTTGTCAATGGGGTCCGGTTTTGGTGTTCAATTTTGTTTTGCTTGTAAGTCCCCTTTAATTGGATTGTCTAATTCTTTCCATATTTTAGAATTTTGAGTAGAAATGAACTAACTGTTGTTAAGTGTGTGATGAGATTTGCTGATCCTTTATTAGTTCAACTTCGGATTTTTTTGTATTTCTTAGAGTATCTTGATTTTGGTGAAAATCTGGTGAGGGCTAATAACTTCCATGGTATTGAATTGCATGCTAAATTTTTTGTTGTTGGGCTCAAACAAAGCGAGTGCTAAGTGGTTGATGAGAAGCTATTTGTTTGCTTTACAGATTGTGGTTGGTGGAAGGAACAAGTATTTGATCAATGGGAAACTTGCACAGCCTAGTCAGGTCCAGAACCTTTTTCATTCAGTGCAGCTCAATGTTAACAACCCGCATTTTCTGATAATGCAAGGGCGCATCACCAAGGTTTTGAATATGAAACCACCCGAGATTCTCTCTATGCTTGAGGAGGCTGCTGGGACGAGAATGTATGAGACCAAGAAAGAGGCCGCTTTGAAGACACTTGAGAAGAAGCAGAGTAAAGTTGATGAGATCAATAAGCTTCTTGACCAGGAGATACTGCCTGCCTTGGACAAGTTGAGGAGAGAAAGGGCCCAATACATGCAATGGGCTAATGGAAACGCTGACTTGGATCGCCTGAAAAGGTTTTGCATTGCGCATGAATATGTTCAAGCAGAGAGAATTAGAGACAGTGCAGCGTCTGAGCTGGAACAAGTGAAGGCCAGGATTTCCGAGGTTGATGATGATATGAGAAAGATGAAGGGAGAAATACAGGAAATGGAGACACAAGTGTCGAAGTTGACTGCTGAAAAGGAGGCTAGAATGGGTGGAGAAGTAAAAACTTTGTCTGACAAGGTAGATGCGCTTTCTCAAGATCTTGTGAAGGAAGTGTCTGTGTTGAGTAATAAAGAGGACACTCTTGGTATTGAAAATAAAAATGCTGAAAAGGTAAATGTTGTAGTCTATGACTCGCTAGATTCTTCTAATGCTGTCAGGCGCTTTCAAGTTTGTTCTATTGTTATTCCTTATATTCCTCAGTTTAACAATTAGATTATGACATCCTTGATGTTGGCAGATTGTTAACAATATTGAAGACATGAAGCAGTCATGTAAAAGAGACGGACTTCGCTATAAGAAAGGCTGAAGAAGGAGCAGCTGATTTGAAAAAGAGAGCAGAGGAACTTTCTCAGACACTGAATGAGTATGAAAAGGATTACCAGGTAAATGTGTATCCATATGTTGGTTTTCTACTTTATATTGTCAATGATCAATGTGCATGCAAGCCATATTATTTATTATAAATTATAATCACTATGATTGAGGCGACTAATGTTTTAAAAATAAACTATGTTTAGGGTGTACTAGCCGGCAAGAGCAGTGGAAATGAGGAGAAATGCCTCGAAGATCAACTGGGTGATGCCAAAGTAGCTGTTGGCAATGCTGAAACAGAACTAAAACAGCTGAACACAAAAATAAGTCATTGTCAAAGGGAGTTAAAAGAGAAAAATAATCAACTAATGTCAAAACGTGAAGAAGCTGATGCAGGTAAAGGGTGAACTTACTGCTAGAAAAAGAGATCTGGAAAATCTTGAAAATGCACTGAAGTTTGTTCCATATAAAGAGGGCCAGATGGAAGCATTACAAAAGGTAAACATGATTTATATTTGATCATTTTCTCTGCACTTAAATAGTTCAATCTCAGTTTAGCTCTATGAATATTTCTTCAGGATCGTGTGTCTGAGTTAGGGGAGGTGCAGAAGTTGAGGGATAAAATGCGAAATCTTTCAGCTCAATTATTGAATGTTGAGTTCACCTATCGGGATCCTGTGAATAACTTCGATAGGTCCAAGGTCAAGGGTGTAGTCGCAAAACTTATCAAAGTGAAGGATAACTCCACCATGACTGCCTTAGAGGTCAGAATGAATTTGTAACTAAGAATTTTATTTCATGAGTTAGATAATGTATTAATTCTTAGATTGATTCATTTCGCAGGTTACTGCTGGTGGAAAGTTGTTTAATGTTGTTGTAGACACAGAAAGTACAGGAAAACAACTTCTTCAGAATGGCAACCTTCGAAGAAGAGTAACAATTATACCTTTGAACAAAATACAACCGTATACTGTTCATCATAGGGTTCAACAAGCTGCTTCTAAATTGGTTAGTTTCTCTACCAATAGAACCCACCCCCCTTTCGCGCCACCCTTGTTCTCTCAGTTGTGTAGCTTATTTGCTGAAACTTGGCTTCAATTTCAGGTTGGCAAGGAGAATGCAGAGCTTGCACTTTCTTTGGTTAGGTATGATAATGAATTGAAGGTATGCATCAAGCAGCCCCATATAAAACTAAACCTGATATTATTTTTTGTACATATACTATAGAGTGTAGAGTTCTTTGATGTGTGTTTTCTATACTTGAGACAATTATTAATACTTTAAGTTTGTTGTAGGCTTCTTTCTTTCTTCTTTGGGATATTATGCAGACGCGAACAATGGATTTTGGAATTTTATATTCTGCTCTTTTTGAATTTCAATTTTTATTGCAGAGTGCTATGGAATTCGTTTTTGGTTCAACCTTTGTTTGCAAAACTGTAGATGCTGCAAAGGAGGTAGGCCAAACTTTGCTAATTTGTTCATGTATAAAATTTCTTTAACAGTGCATATCCTTCTCATCTTGATTATGTTTGATTTGGTGTAGAATGATTCTGTAATATTGTACTTCTATGAAAATGAATTCTATATTTAGAAGGCTGCATGACACAAATTGCATCTCCTTGAATGTTTTCTAGGTTGCTTTTAACAAGGAAATTCGCACCCCAAGTGTCACTCTTGAAGGTGATATCTTTCAGCCTAGTGGCCTTTTGACTGGTGGAAGCCGCAAGTAAGTCATTGTTGTTTTTCTCCTCAGTTCAAATTGGAATAGCCATATATCTGTTGCTTTTGTCCCTGCCTTTCAAATTCTTCTTGTTGTTAACATTTTCCTAGTGAATGCTCCAAACTAGTTATTGTCTTCTTCGTAATATGCATGCTGCACTGAGTAACTAAAATCTTACATTTCTCTAAAAGTTGTTTTAATTGCTTTTGTCTACATCTAGCCTGTCAGCCTATTAAAGAAACCATTCACTCTGTCACAGGGGTGGGGGTGATTTGTTAAGGCAACTTCACGAGCTGGCAGAGACTGAACAAAAACTTTCCGTGCATCAGATAAGATTGACCGAACTTGAAGCTAAGGTTGACCATAAGAATCTTGTTGTCTTTCTTTAAATAAGAACGAATGAGATGAATTTTGTGATAGTTAGGACCCCTCTTGTTTGCATATCTTAAATACAGAATTTTTGGGGATGTTTTGCATTTCTTTGCGAATTGGAAGCATTTACACGGGTTATATATTTTGTCAACTTCTTAAATTGCAGATTACAGAGCTTCTGCCCCTTCAGAAGAAGTTCATGGAACTTAAAGCACAGTTAGAACTTAAATCCTATGACCTTTCATTATTCCAGGGCAGGGCTGAGCAAAATGAGCATCATAAGGTTTTGTCCAGTCCTCTCTTTCTCTTGGCATACCAACCACACGCTTTATTTTGCAACTTCCTTTACTGGTTGATATGATGACATGGTATGATTTCTTGGTGTTACTAGCTTGGCGAATTAATAAAAAGGATCGAGCAGGAACTTCTAGAAGCACAATTTGCAGCAAAAGAAAAACAGCTTTTGTATGAAGATTGTGTGAATAAAGTTTCATTACTTGAGAAATCAATCAAAGAGAATGACAATAGTCGGGAGGGAAGGCTCAAAGATTTTGAAAAGAAGATTAAAGAAACAAAAGCTCAAATGCAATCAGCTTCAAAGAATCTCAAGGTACGTTATGATTAGCTTTGTGGTTTTATGTGAGTTGTTGGATTTTGAAGTAGCCCAGTTAAGTTTTGTGTGACATGATTTTATTCACTGCTAGGGGCATGAGAATGAAAAAGAGAAGCTGATTATGGAAAAGGAAGCTGTTATAAAGGAACTTGCATCTTCAGAGACTCAATTAGCTTCTTTGAGAACACAAATTAACAACCTAATTTCAGAAGTGGAAGAACAGAGAGCA